GTCCCTAAGAATGACAGTGTAATGGAGACAAACTTCCCAGTGGTTTCTCAACTCCATGACAGTTGCTGCATTGGTAGAAAAATTTTGACCATTACCATCCAAATCCTGAGAACTCGTTTAAAGATGAAAGCACAGAATTAACGGTAGTTTTCGAGGACAACTTTAGCAGTTTCTTTATTTTCACGCACATAAGTAATTAATTTTCTTCCAATTCTATTTTTTTCTATAACGTTGTTGGCAATTGCGTTCAGTTCAGCACTGTTTCTATATACTCGTATATGATCATGGTTGATTTTCTTTTATGTTGATCTAGTTTTACAACAATTATGGCGACATAATGAAAGCGATATTGGCCAGGTATCGCGAATACAGTAAAAAGTCGTGTAGCCGGGCTATGCTAATGGCGTTAAGGACGTCATTCACGGAAGTTCAAGTATGTTTCGTTATGTTTTTTTGCGAAGTGATTAATTTAAACAGTGTTCAGGATTCGATGACGAGTAATCATATCGATAAATCAAGCGAAAAGTTCGTTAATCTTCGAGAATTGGCCAAGCGTTTGGCGTTGTCTTTGGGCCCGGACGCTATTCGTAGTCGAGAGATTGTGGCGAATATTCATAAGTAATTGCTTTGTTTTCAGATTAATGAATAGTGACTTAATGACGATATTTGCTCAGAGAGGGGATCGATTTTGCATTGGGCATCGGACAACCAATGATTTTGGCGGAGCCGCCTCGACTTCCTCGAAACTTAGTGTTCTTTGACGTTCTTACTGAATTTACGCACAAACTTGTGAAACAGGATAAAAGGACACTGTAGGCTTTAAAACGCTCCCCTTGCGGTCGGTAGTTTTTGATTGTTTTTTTAGCTTATCTTACTTGGAAAAGCACACTTCTCTACTCGATATCACAGACACGCAGGAGTGGCAGCCGTTCTTTTCGTACAGAAATTCTTTGATACATGGCGAAGATCTTTCCGTCATTACGCGCGTTACGGCGCAGATTTCAGACACTGTTTCTCAGAATATGCAGTCACCTATGCCTCAAGGTATGTTTCTTGTGAGCAGTGTTTTCATACACCCGTTGCTCGTTTTTTTAGACTCGTTCGCAAACCTTATACCGAAGCTTACTTCGACCACAGTCAGGGAAGGTGCACAACTGCCGCCCACACCTCTGTCAGAAGAGCAGCCAGAAGAGGAAAGTGAAACTACAGGCCAGCTGTTTGAAACATAGAAGATTATTGGTGTTACGAGACGTTTTCATGCAAGTAAAGTTTTAGCTATCTTTGAAGTTGTTTTTTATCAGTGGATTCATTTTTGTTTCATTATCATGAGTTCTCATTATTATACATAAGTAGTTGTCATTACAGCAACAGGGTTTACGCGAGCTGTACATTATCCCCTTGAATATACAGCTGTCAGATGCGTCAGAGTGACAGTCGTAAGACTCACTCCTATCAGGTAGCGTGACGGTCTCTCTCGCCCATTCTGATGTGACTGCGCTACAGCACCTGTTGACCCTGTTGTTCGTAAGTCAACGACTTGCTACCATTTTCTCAGCTTCCAAGCAATGTAAGTTCCTTGTTCAAGAACGTTTAAACGTTAAAGACGTTTAAGACAAAAACCGTCCTTCTCCAGATTCGAGCCCGGCACTTCCAGTCCGAATCGAAGCCTTTCTCTACAACTGTGTCACCTCGTTCTTTAGGAACTTTGTACCAACGAACTGTGGCAATGATCTTTAGTTTTTTTGCGTGCTCTAAATCCATTAAAAAGTAGTTGTGAGAAAGGGGCAGCAGAGCTGTTAGCATGATACAGTGCTCACTTGTCCACGCGTGGTCGAGATTTTCCGCCAAAGCTGTAGCTAACGAATCTTTAGCTATTTGAATTATTAGCAAACTTCTGCATTGATGTGTTGTTCTCAGATTACTCGATTCTACCGTAATTCTTCCTTCACTCAGTAATTACGAACTATATGTTATTGCAGTTAGGGTTATGATCAGTTTGAGAACGCGTAGCTATCATTCGCGCTTTCTGCGGTTTGTTTTACTTATGGGATATAATGAAAGCTATAAGTTTGACTTAAGAAGAGGGTGCCACTGGCAGCATTACTTCACAAACTGCCTTGATCTAACGATTGGTTTCGTTTGAACCTGATGTTCGCCATTGGTTTCTCCATTGAGTCCAAAATTCATTAGGATTGTAGTCCGGTCATTTGCTGTTCCTCTTCTGATCTCGGTGAGCCAGTGCCTGAGATAAGCAATAGAATTGCCGATCTCATTGTTCTTCCTTTTATTTTTGTGGATATCATAATAAATAAGGCAGCGGGGTCCAGAGCATCGAAATGGGTATCGCTGTTGCTCCAAGTATGCCATAAAATAGGTAGACGGCCAGAAGTAACGACCATGATGGAAGTGTTCAGTAGGCCGATACAGTCGAAGATGCATTTTCCACATAATCACATCATTTGTTCTCCATTCTTACTCTTGGGTTGCAGCTATCCCTTAACTTACCTATGCGCCCCGCAAATTTGCCTTAACGTTGACGCTGCTTTTTTTAGTGTTCGAGCAGTTTTCTACCGCAAAACGAAGGTATCTGCATTATATAAAGGTTTTCATTGTTTTCTACTTCGCGACCTGAAAGAAGAAGCGGTTATGGATGATGATTATTACTTTCTATTTCAGTGTGTGGTAAACTGTGCTATAAATCTATTTTACTATCAATATACTGTGAATATTCACGGGCAGACGTTGATCGTTTTGTTAGGAAAGTTGTGTGAAATACTTTGGTGCAGTATTCCACCGACAAAGGTATCTTCAGACACCAGATTCACTAAATAGAGTTTATAGAATCACCAGACTTCCATTCTCGCCAGAAAGCCCGTTCAGTACATTATCATCGGTTTAATATAACCATCAATACAGACCGTAAAAAGGTTAGGAAATTGCGTTTCGTTATCTCACGGTTTATTTTGTATTGAGATCCGGAGGGATGTGTAGAGTAACAAAACGTTCGTCTGTATTCAAACTTCTGTTCCTTCGGCACGTTGAAGTACCGTGTATCGATGTTCTGTTCTGCAAATGTTCTCCGTGCCACGTGAGCTCAACTAAATTTAGCGTTTTCAGTCGAAGAAGACGTTGCACAGGTGGACAGTCTGTATTCTCTTCATCGCTGTAGTAGTTTTTTCTAAACGAAAAATATTTTCCATTATTGTGAAAAAGTTGCTTGGATCTGGCCTGTTATTTTGGCTCGACTGTTGTTTATCCAAACTCCTTGATAAACAATTTGCAATTATCTTTTTGAACAGGGAGAGTTGGCATGCTTAGCGTTAATTCGTCTGATGTTAATGAACGCCTTCTTGTGTAGAAAATCGTCATTGACTCTTTTCAACAGGATGGGATCTCAGCTATCGATTGAACCTCTGAGCAAATGCCTTCCAGAGTTTCTGCCGTTTGTGCTCATCATTTCGATTATCAGTGTATATCTTTCCGGTACTTTCCCTCAATTCATGTGTTAAGTTGTGCCAGCTTCGCTTGCGAAGTACTGTCTTGTAATGTCTGGAATGTCGGTGGTTAAGTAGTTAGCTTTAAAACAAAGAGTTGAGTGCAGATCTCTGCCGATCGCTTCTCTGCCAGTTCTCTGTTATTGTTTGATATTCCTTCTTGATCAGTGCCGCGACAGTTTGTCTGTAGAGCGCCAATTCCTTCTAACATTTTATTAGATAGACTTCTACGATGTTCAGCCTACTTAATTCGTTTCTTGAAGTCGTCTTAATTTCCGTATCGATGTTGCACAGAAAGTTGTATTTTACCTTGTCATTGCCGTCTCTTTTTATGTCCATCCGTATCTGGCAGGATTCCGGTTAATAAACACTAAAATCTTCTTCATAAATGCAACCGTGGCTCGTTAAATAAATTCTGGAAAACCAGGACCTGTATTTCGTTGTTACAAAGTTTGCTTTTAGGGGAGTAAATTACTTCTTAGCATACTTCACGTACAAGATTGTAACTGTTGTTGTTATCGCCATTTAGAGAGCTATCTAAACGTGACTAAATAGTCTAGCAATTTTAAAAATCATCGGCTCAGATAAATACTACACGTATCAATGATCATATTATTCGTTTATGCAGTAGTACATCATGCCAGGACGTAAAATAATTTCATTGATTAAGATAAGTGATAAAATTGCTGAAGGACATGAAATTCGACCTGAGATTAAAAGCTCTTGAATCGCGAGGATATTGTAGGGTTGCCACGTTTCCTGGAGTTATGGAAAGGCATCAAGGGAGTGGTGGTTCAGTGTGATTAATATACAAGGAAAGAAAACTGGGAGAATGCAGCTACTGCTCAACTCTTCTTCTCTGTTGAAGCAATTCGATATAATGTACGTCTGTCAATGCTTGGAAAATATATGTAGAGACGATGAACAAAAGATTAAAAATAGCGGCTTCCGTCCCGGGTGGAGTACCTTAACCAGCTTTTCCTACCCACCAGGTCTGTATAAAACGTTAAGTTCGCGATTACAGATCTGAAAAATGCTTATGATAGAGTTAAGCTCCGATCGAAACTATAAGGAATGTTAACTGATCAGCTACCGAGCGCCATCAAATCCTCATACGAATGCTCAGAACTAACTCGAGATTAACTGCGTAAAAAACACCTTGATTCACGCAGTTGTTCGGCTAAGCTGCACACTGTTCATGATTTTTGTGGATTAGATCAGTAGCGCATCTTAGGTAAGGAGAACGGCACAGTTACGAAAGCCTAACAAAGTCATTTGGACTCACTGCTGAAGATGACCTCGTCATGTTCTCTTCGCCGAACGATGATCTGTAACTGCCATTAACTGATGCCCTATAGCATACGATGAGGTCACAGAAAATTTACCTGACCAATACCGAAGCTTTCG